CTTTGAAAAAAGTAGCAAATTAAATTCAGCAGCATAAAGGATAATAAATCTCAACCCAGGTATACAAAGTTGGTTCAGCATTTGAAAATCAGTGTAATTGACCACATTAACAGAATAAAGGAGGAAGTAGTATTATTATTGCAATAGATGCATGAAAAGCATTTTATAAGTTCAGTGCCCATACAAGATAAAAATACTGAGCTAACTAAGAGGGGGAAATTTCCTCCATCTGATGAAGGACAACTCTGGAAAATCTACAGCTGTCATTATACTTAAAGGTGAAAGACTGAATATTTGACTCATAAGTCCAGGAAGAAGACAAAAATGTCCTTTGTCTTTCACCGCTTGTATTCACCATTGTATTGGTGTACTGTACAATACAGTAGTGGAGTCAGTGCAAGACGGCAAGGAGAAAAAAAGGCATACAGGTGAGAAGAAGTAAAACTGTGACATTCACAGACAACATGATCATGCATGTAAAAAATTCAAAGGAATATTTTAAAAAGCAACTAACACTAATAGATCTTAACATTTTTCATGGAAGGAGTTGTATTATAATCTTCTAATTCTATTTTTTCACAAACTTTTTGACGGAATATTTTAAAAAGCAACTAACACTAATAGATCTTAAAATTTTTCATGGAAGGAGTTGTATTATAATCTTCTAATTCTATTTTTTCACAAACTTTTTGACGGACCCTTGTGTGTGAATTTAGTAAGGTTATAGCGTAATTTATTTTAGTATATACAAAAATAAATTTTATTTCCATATACTAACGACAAACAGTTGGAAAACAAAAATTTAATAGTACCGTATTTCTAATAGCATAAAAATTATAAAATTTTTAGGAGGAAATTTAGCAAAAGATGTACAAGATCTCTATATTAAGAACTACAAAGTATTACTAAGAGAAACTAAAGAAGATCTAAATAAATGGAAAGAGATATACCATGTTTATGAATGGCAGACTGTATTGTGAAGATGTCATTTACCAAATTTATTTATACATTTAACACAATCCCTGTCAAAATTGCAGCAGACATGTTTTGGTAGAAATTAATAAATTGATTCTAAAATTTATATGGAAATACAAGGAACCTAGAATAGCCTGAATTATTTTGAAAAGAATAAAGTGGAAGGACAGACTACCTGGTTTCAAAACTTCTTAGTTCAATGTGGATCACAGACCTACACATAAATGCTGAAACTAAAAGACTTCTAAAAGAAAACGAAGGAAAAAATGTTCGTGACATGAAAACAGGACACACATACACACAAATACAAGCCATAAAAGAAAAAACTGTTAAGTTGAACTTCATCAAAATTTAAACCCGCTCTTCAAAAGATACCATTAAGAAAATGAAAATGCATGCCACAGACGGGGTGAAAATATTTGCAGTACATATAGCCAACAATGGACTTTGAGATGGTCTGAGTGTTTGTCTCCCTCCAAAATTCATGTGTTGAAATCCTGACCACCAAGGGAATGATATAAAGAGGTGTGGGTCTTTGAGAGGTGATTAGATCACTAGGGCAGAGCCCTCATGAATGGGATTAGTGCTCTTATAAAAGAGGCCCAAAGGAGCTTGTTTGCCCTTCTACCTCGTGAGGACACAGTGAGAGGGCGCCATTTCTATGAATCAGGAAATCTTCCCTCACCAGACACTGAATCTGCTGGTGCCTTGATCTTGTACTTCCCAGCCTCCAGAACTGTGAAAAATATCTGTTGTTTATGAGCTACTCAGTCTATGGTATTCTGTTATAGCAGCCCAAATGGACTAAGATAGACTTGTAAGCAGAATATATGAAGAACTCCAACAAATCAACAATAAGATGAGCAACCCAATTAAACAATTGGTCAAGAAGTTGAATAATCACAAAAGATGCACCAATTACCTAAAAGCACATGAAAATGTGTTCTACATCATTTTCCATCAAGGAAAGGCTAGTCAAAACCACAGGAATTAATAAAAGGAAAAAGACCAACTGTATCAAATATTGACAAGGATGTGCAATGTATGAGTGCCCTCATACATTCCTGGGGTGTGTGTGTAATAATTGTATAACCACTTTGAAAACAATTGAAAAACAATTTGGCAGTTTCTTATAAAGTTAGACATGTACTTAACAATTTGAACCTGAACCTCTACTCCTAGTTATTTACCCAAGGAAAATGAAAACCTGTACCCACAAAAAGCTTTATATATATATATATGTATATCTATATAGCAGCTTTATTCATACTAGCTAATACTAGAAACAGGCTACTCCTAGTTATTTACCCAAGGAAAATGAAAACCTGTACCCACAAAAAGCTTTATATATATATATGTATATCTATATAGCAGCTTTATTCATACTAGCTAATACTAGAAACAGGAGAATGGATAGACTGTGGTATATTCATACAATGGAATACTACTCAGCAACGAAAGAGAATGGACTACAGATGTACACAGCAACATGGAAGAATCTCAGAAACATTTTGCTGAGTAAAAGAAGCTAGATACAAAAGAGTGCATATTATGTGATTTCATTTATATGAAATTCTGAAAGATACAAAGCTAAAGTATTGTGATGAAAATCAGATCAGTGGTTGCCTGGAGTGGAGGTGTTTGACTACAAAGAGGCATGTGGGAACATCCTGGAGTGATGGAAATGTTCTGTAGTGGTGGGATTATGTAAATGCCCCAACTTAAGAAATTGTGCAGTTGAAATGTATGCATTTCATTAAATATAGGCCATACTTCAATATGGTTTGTTTTTGTTTTTCTAAGCAGGAAAGAGTTCCAGACCCTGTACTCCAACTACTTTGGCATATGGGGGATACCACATTTAACCTCCCTATAGTAACCTTTCCTAGTTATCTTTGGTAACCATTGACCTGGACAGAGACAATTTTTATAATCATAAAATTACGATGCATTGTATTATGCAAATTAAATGGAAATTCCCTCACTGAAATGAAGCACAACACATAGATAGGATACATTTCCAGGATTCCAACAGCACTCTAGGAATGTTTGTCTTTTAAAAATAATTGTAGTAGGACCTGATATATTTTTTTAAATTCTAAATCAGGGGACAGTGAACTATGGCCCGTGAAGCCTGTTTTTGTACTGTTCTTAACCTAAGAGTCGTTTTTACATTTTAAGAGATTGTGTTTTTTTTAAAAAAGCAACTGATAGCCATAAATGTCCTTCAAAGCCTAAAATATTTACTATTTGGACTTCTATAGAAACAGCTTTCTATCTCTCCTATTCTTTACTCTTTGTTTGGCACACTCTGCCTACTGTAACTGATTCAGTTTCCTAAAAACTAGTATGGGGTGTCTTTTTTTTTTTTTTTCGTTTATTTGTCTTTTTTCGTGTCCGGCAATGGATCGCAACCCTCAGTGTCGCGCCCTTACCGGACCGGGACCGGCAACGGGATCGCAACCCTCGGTGTTGCTCCCACACCTCGCTCAGCCAGTGAGCAGGAACCGGTCTGTATGTAGGATCCGAACCCTTGGCGGGAGCACCGCCGCGCTCTCAAGCGGCGCACTGTAGCAGTGCGCCACCGGGCCGGCCCCCAGTTTTTTTAAACTCCTATTCCATCTTCTATCTAGATTAATAGTCTCTCAACAGTGATCAGATTATTCACAGACTTAACCCCCCTAGACTCCACCAAAACCCATCCCATTCATCATGGTTGTTACGTCAGACTATAGTAATTTGGAAAACTAATGAAAAGAAATAAAGGAAAATTGATAAAAGATAAGGGGTCAAAATATCTTGATATATTATGTCTCCTCAAAAATATAATTTAAAAAATTCCTTAAGTACTTTACTACAATTAGGTTAATAAATACAGGTCAGCTGACCTTAAACACTTGGGCACACCTAAGCCCAAGTAGAAAGAAGTGAAGGAACTCAGGTGTGGTAGACTGTGGCAGGGATGGCCCACAATGTCCATGCCCTTAGGTAGGCCTCTCCCACATTGACTCTGGGCTTGGATATGTAATTGCTGTGGCCACTGGGACAATACAAGACATGACATGAGCAGGCAATGTACTTGCACACTGGGGCTTGCTCTCTGCTGCTCCTGGAACTTGCAGTCAGCATGAGAACAAGGCCAGGTATCTTGCTGAGGTGGGGTGTCTTTTAAAAACATATTATAATTTCAGATGTTTGAAGTACTAGTTAGTGTATATGGAACATAGAACGTTATTTCCTTTCCTCTGAAGACAAGGAGGTGAATGTTAAGTTGAATGGTATGATAGTTACTTCTCAAGGAGTGCTATATTTCCCATGAATGGGCCTCTTTGGCTATATTCTAGCCAGCCTGGTTAGAATGACATTAACGATGTGGAATAGCCAGAGCACCTGTAATAGCAGGTGTATATGTGGCATGAGTTTTTCTCTCGGGTATTCTGAAAAAAGCACAGGGCAATGCTAAATGTCTCTGGTTTGCCCCAGTGGTATAGATGGGAGGAGCCATATTTACTTTTCACCCTCCTGGAAAGTGGGAGGGTAGTTTAGAAGTTCTTTGAGAACTTCTAGAGGTTCTAGAGGGTAATTTTGGGAGTGGCAGGCTGTCAAAATAGTGGATCTGCACTATACTCTCAGAAGCTTCAAGATTTCCCTCTTGTAGTACATTAGAACTCCCACATCAACCTTGGTACCTTCTTCCTCTTACCCACTCCTTGCACCTGCCTCCCGTGGTCTCATACATCTGACCTCAAATCATAATGGATCTTTTAAAATTAGGTGTTCTGAGCATCTCTTTCTTTCCAAATTCTAAAGATGGTTCTGGGATAATGGGATATCTAGAACTGCTTTAGGAAACACACAGCCTCTTTGAGGGATCCCATTGTGCTAATGGTACACACATTCAAATTGAAAGACCAGTGAAATTGTGCTGAACCCCCCAGGGACGGGAACAAACAGCAGCCTGATGTGAGCTAACACTTACGTTAAAATCTGTGAATGTTTACAGTATTCCTTTGTCTTTTCTCTAGGCCTACTCTGTATATGATGAAGACATTGGGTACTGTCAAGGACAGTCTTTTCTTGCTGCTGTATTGCTGCTGCATGTAAGTAATTTTCTATGTGAAAAATAGCACAGTGCTGCCAAGTTTATTTTATTTTCTACTGGTTTTGTTCTTCCTTCTTATTTTCCATTTTCTTGATGAAGATTGCATATGGCATTTGTTTTTAAAAATGTACCTAGGGTGATAAAGTAAGAGATCTAATGTCAAGAACAGGAGACTTTCTCAATAGAATTAATTTTGCTGGCTAGAAGGAAATAAATTGCTTATTTGGAGTTTTTTTTTTTTAACTAGAACTCCTCAGAATTAAAGAAGTCAATGTCACTGCCCAAATATCAGGACCTGGGCCTTTATGAACCACTATACTGTGGCAAGGAAGTCTTTTATCTTTTCTGTGATTTGTTTTTTTATATTCTCTTTCCTGTCAGTCACCTTCATTTAAGAGGACATGTATTGAGCATCAGTTGCCAGGTATTGGGCTAGCAAGTAGGGTTACAAAGATGAATCACTTATAATTTGTGTTCTCAAAGACCTCAGAGTCCAGGATGGGGCACAAATAACACAGGCACACACTTGTTATTTTTATTCTCTTTTCTGATAACAAAAATAGTGCATGCACACTAAAGGACTTATAGTGTGCTCAGTGAATATACAGATAAGAGAATGGAGAGAATTGTCCAGCCCAGTTCTGCCAGAATTTTTAGGAAAGACTTTCTGGAGGAGGTGGCAGCTTTGCCAAGACATAAATAATTGAGGTTGGGGAAAGCAAGAGGGGACAGGGAAGTGGTAGGGAATTCTAGACAAAAGTATCAACATGAGGAAATGTATAGAAATACAAAAGGGCTATACACAAAAAAGTATACAAAGAGAAAAATATGAAATTACAGTTTACTGTAGGACTTGCTTGTAGGGAGTATTGTGAAGTAAAATGGGCAGAGGCCAAATTATGAACACTGTGAAATCATGTCAAAAATGTAGACTTTAAAGTCAGTGAGGAGCCATTGCTCAGTTTAAAGCAAGGGAATAACATAGTCAGATGATCATTTCAGATAAATTCTTATTATACCTGTGTAGAGAGTGGAATTGAAGGGGGCAAGCAGCAGCAGGAAGACTAGTTTTAGAAAATATCTATCTAAACGAAAGATGTTGAGACCCAGGGAAAAAGAAGCAGAATTTTAAAACATTCAGGAGGCAAAATTGGTAGGTTTTGCTGATGGATTGGCAATGGAAAGATCAAAGGTGACATGCCTAGGTTTCTAGCTTTGGTGACTGAGTTGATGTGGTATTTTGGGCTGAGATAGAAAATATATCCACTGAGAATGAATGGAGGGAAAAGTTTAGGAGTTGATGATGAATTTTGTTTTTAATTTTTTTAGTTTGGGATATTTCTCAGGCATCTAAGTGGACCTTTCTATCAACTATTTGGATTCTGGAGACTGATGCTTGGGGGGGAAATCAAAGCTAAAATCATGGGAGTAGATCAGATCATCTAAGAAGAATAAATAGAATAAG